AGGAGGTCCCTGAAATGAGTTCTTATCAAATGGCGGTCTGTGACCTAGTGTCAATTTAGGGGTTCTTGACACAAAAAATGTTGAGAACCACTGGGTTATGGCATTCCAGAATCTCAGCAGTTAACTTTGTCAAGACAGTGTTATATTACCAACAGGAATGATGGCCAAAACTACAAAAAAGGACCCAAGTTGTAAAAGAAAATATCCAAATCATCATTTAACAACTTAGGTTTCACTATGACAACAGATCGTATGTTTAAAAAAGAAAAAAGAGCTTAGTTTAAAGAGCTTAAGGAAAATCTTACCATGTTTGCAAAAGCACTTCAAGGGTTGTCCATTTGTGTTTGTTTGGACAGTGTATGTGATAATCAAATTTAAAAGGAGAAGATGAAAATGGGAAGAGAAAAATCGAGAATAACTTTGCTGCTGGCTGGGAAAGGAAGGCAGGGTGATCGCAGAACTGACATGATCATGAAACCAAGGGGACACCATCGCTCCCGTTGTAAGAAAGTGTTATTTTTCAGCATTTCCTCTCCTGTTTCTTTTTTAAAATCAAACCCCCCCACCTCTCACAGCTTGTGGGATGAGCATATGGAAATGAATCATTTCATGCTCACTGAATTTCAGCAGTATTTGTTGAACATAAAGAAAATGATCTCATGGACTGTTGAGTAACAGATGGCCAAATTATTCATAAACAAAGAGTACATAATCATGCTTAAAAAGCTTAAAGTCCTTGTGTATTACATACCACACACGCAAAACTATTCCTTCCACCCCATGTGTTGTTCAGCTGATTAAATTCTGGCGTTATCTTACTCTGCTTAATTTACTCATTATTTAGTGATTCTGTTGTCATTTCTAGGTGTGATGAGCTCACAGTTATGTATGTGTGTATAATTTTGTATGTGATCACAATTTACACCTGGCTGATGTCATCTCCTTTTCATTATCGACAGACTGTAGCCTAATAGTTGTAGTTTTACCACTCCTTATTGAATGCAATACTCTTATGCAACATTTCACTGCCAAAGAATAACCAGTACCCATGAAAATGAAGGTCTGCACAACATCAGGCAGAGACAGCTCCTCCATAGGTCCATTACATTTCACTCACTGATGGTATTCACTGTAGTTTCTCATGAGAATTTTCTTGTTTAAAAGTGTTATGTGCTATTATGAGATGTGTTTCATAAATAAACTAAGATAAGGACCAATACTTTCAGCAAGGCTCCCAGACCTCTGGTAGAACCAGTTTAGACTCTTATCAACACTGTGTACTCGCGGGACCTGTCTATTCACAGGACTAAGTTTGCAAACAAGTGTGTATGTGTGTGTGCCACTGCTGTGGTCTGACACTGACCCCTAGTGTCCAGTCTGCTCACTATAATTTCCTCTGCTCCAGATTAAAGGTGCATTTTACCAGATATCCAAGTGTTCTCTTGACAAATGACCATTTCATTCAGATATTTCCACACAGGTTCCCTCAACTGTCCACATTTACTTTTTGAGATATGATTTAGAAGTATGTTCTATATGTTTACTACTACTGGTGGTATGTTATGAGCGCCATTAAAGAATTCATTCAAGATTTAATTACTTAATTTTCTAACATATTCAAGATAAATTTCCAACCACCTATGCACTAACCCTGGTCAGGATAGCAAGGGTTAGAAGGGGCGTTCAGTCTGGACAGGTCAGCAGTCTATCAAAGGGCTAACACAGAGACAGACACAAGATGCATTTATGAATCCAAAGTAAGAGGAGATAGAGCTTTATATATCTGTTGCCAAAGTTCACCACATTGCCACAGTATCTGTACTGTCAGTGTTTAGTTTCTAGCTCCGACACATCACAGCTTTTTTTGTGTTTTTCTGTATATAATGTGAATCACTGCCAATGCAGATCAAAATGCATTTTGATTTTATTTACCAGAGAGCCTCCTGCCTTGTGCTGCCTACAATTCTTTTGCATTTAGAACAGCTTCTCAGGCCAAATCATTTTGATGTTTGCACAGATTTCACAGTGCAACAAACAACATCAGCACTCGTACATGTAAGCAAAGACAAAATATTCTAGCTTTTTGATACAAATGTGGTTGAGAATTCTTTCAGTGGTTGAATGCTCAGCCTCACAAAGTGGATTAACAATGCCATGTCTGTCAGAGCAGTAACAACATGCAGCTGTGCTAAGCCTATGTCAATGGAATATAAAATGTAGTTAACTGTTTCCTTGCTTTTGTTTTGTTGGTAACTGATTCCTTTATAATGTTTCATCGCTTAACCACTAATGATTTAATTAATAAAAGCTATCTGGTTCACAGTTTTTGTGTTTTTATTGAATGTTAGCAGACAAAAGTGAAGGACTGGAAAAAAAACCCAAACATGTTCAGATCATTACAAAACATATTTACAGTAGCCTACTTAACATAATACAGTATGCTATGTGATGTATAGTTTGGTCATTGTTTCATTTTAGTGTTTTCTATTTGAACATATTTGTCAATCATAGGAAGTGAAAGGCAAAAAAAAAAAAAAAAGTAGAATATTCTTGCTGTGTTTTGTTCCCAAAACAGTTTCTTTGTTTTTACTCACTGTGAAATCATAGATCTTTATTTCCACAAGGACCACATTATGCATCTCAAATGATATCAGTAGGCAACAGGTGTCCAGTCCTCAGTCACTGGCTCCAACCCAAGGCAACTGTGTATTCATATCCAGAGGACAATTGAATTGCCATCAGCCACAGGTCACAACTGGAAAACAAAGCAATGCATCATATTATATAATATATTACATAACAGTAAGACAAAACCCCAAGTTAATTAAAAATAATGATAATAATAATAATAATGATAATAATAATAATTATCATAAAAGGTAAAGGGTAAAAGGAAGAAGGCAAAGCTTGTGATTTACTGGTCCATCTACGTCCCAACCCACAACTATGGTCATGAGCTATGGGTAATGACGAAAAAGAATGAGATCGCAAATACAGTTTCCTCTGAAGGGTGGCTGGGCTCAGCCTTGGAAATAGGGTAAGGAGCTCGGATATCTAGACAGAGTTTGGAGTAGAGCTGCTGCTCTTTTGTGTCGAAAAGGGCCAGTTAAGGTGGTTATAACATCTGATCAGGATCCTCCTGGGCGCCTCCAGTTAGAGGTGTTCGGGCACGTCCAACTGGCCCCGGGGCAGACCCAGAACAAGCTGGAGGGATTATATATCTTGTCTGACCTGGCAACGGCTCGGGATCCCTCAGGAGGGGCTAGAAAGTGTTGCTGTGGAGAGGGGCATCTAGAGTACTTTGCTCAGCCTGCTGCCCCTGCCATCCGGCCTTGGATGGGCAGTTAAAAGTGGAGATGGTTGTGGATTTCTAGGAGAATGAAGCCCAACCTGCCCCATCATCCTGTGTGTCTCCTCAGTTGACACTGTAGACTCTTTCCTGGGCTTCTTCATCACCCAGGACCTCAAGTGGGAGCTGAACATCAGCTCCCTCATCAAAAAGGCTCAGCAGACGATGTATTTCTTGCTGCAGCTGAAAAAGTTCAACCTACTAAAGACAATGATGGTGCATTTCTACACAGCCATCACTGAGTCCATCCGCACCTCCATCACCATAGGTATGCTGCTGCTACTGCCAAGGACAAGGGCAGACTGCAGTGTATCATTCGTTCTGTGGTGAAGGTGATTGGCTGGAATCCGCTGTGCCTACAGGACCTGCACGCTTCCAGGACCTTGAGGGGGGCAGGAAAGATTGCAGCCTACCCATCCCACCCTTGACATCAACTCTTTGTTAGACTCCTCTCAAACAGGGGGCTGCAGTCCATTAGGACCTAAATGTCATGGCACAAAATCAGTTTCTTCCTGACTGCAGTGGCCTCATCAACAAAGCCCTGGACCCTGGATAGACACTGTATATATGCACCACAGTAATGCACATCTTGGGACTATTATCTTTGCACATATTGCACATATTTGCTCCACTGTGAACTTTTGCACATCCCCTGATAAATATTTTTGCACATCCTGCACAAAAAATAGCTATATTGTACATATATGTTATAGCACTTTTTAAAAGTTGCATTTAGGTTCTTGAGTGTTGCAGTACTTTGCCTTATTTTTATTCCTCTTGTTCTGTTTATTGTATGTTAATCTATGCATCAAAAATCAAAGCAAATTCCTTGTAGGTGAAAACCTTCTGAGCAATATATCCTGTTCTGATTTCTGATATTAAAAAGGGTGAATGACTCGCAATACTGCAGGACTCTTTGCAGAAAAAAATATTATTTATTGCACCGTGACGTACGTTTCGAGCGTCACGGTTCGTCAGACGAAGAGCACACAGCTCGAAACGTACGTCACGGTGCAATAAATAATATTTTTTTCTGCAAAGAGTCCTGCAGTGTTGCGAGTCATTCACCCTTTTTTCATCTACGACTATCGACTCAGCACCTGCCTTCCCACGGTGAGATGTGCGTGCCTTTGGTTTGATTTTTTGACCCTACTACTGATTTGTGATATTAACACTTAAAAAAATCTCTTTTTGTCAGTGTTAGTGTTTTCCTAATTTCCTTCTTCATTTCATTATTTTAATAGTTTATATCATTTAATCCAAGGCAACTATAAAAGTGTTCTTGCATAAATATTTCGATCTAACCTGTTGCTCTCTCCTGATTCATCACAGAGGTGGGGCTGGTAGCGGAAATACAGTTATCCGAAGAGAGCAGGAACACGACCGGAAATAGAGGGTTTCCTTACCTAAATTAAAGGCGTAAAAAATTATTATTGTAACAATTATCAGGTAAATTTCATTAAACACATTTTATTAGTATATTTTATTATATACAGAGTAAACGACAGTAAAATACGCAGTGCATGCTGGCTAATAAACTGACATAACACTATTAGACATAATAGTGGTTAAAATATGTTTTTATTTTGAAATTTTAAATCGGAAGCTGTGTTGATTATTGACGATTGACTTGATGGTGGTCAACAACAGCTGCTTTGCCAGAAACCAGAAGGCTACAAAGTAGTTGGCGATGTGACATGTACGTCAAAAAACCTTTGTGAGATTTAAAAGTAGCGTATGTGCGCTGGCCGCTGCTCGTCCATGGTGTTGCTGTAAAGTGTGCTGCCGTCTCTCAAAAGGTGAGTTAAAAACGTAACGACATATTTACTACTCGTGGCGCATGAAAGTGAAGTTTTGGTCGAGCACTGTACCTCCATCAGTGAGCTTTCCCACCATGCTAGCTGGTAGACTAGCTTATATTGGCTAGCTAGTAAACGCTACGCTGTCTTGTCCCACCAAAGTTACAAACGTAATGTAAATTCACCACTTTCCCACTCAGCATGTGAACATCTGTTCAGCAATAAGGAGAGATCGCCATTTGCAATTGTGCCGCATACAATACTTGCCAACGAGCCAATCTAAATGCACAGTAGTGTTAGCAAGCTAAGCTATCTCTCAAACTTTTTGGGAGAGCAAGCCTCCCTGCTGCACACCGAAGAGCTCTGCCCTAAAATTCACACAGTGGACTGTGTAATAAACGGACTACTAGCATTAAATTACGTGCTTTGTCAAACACACGGTTTTCTAAATCATTTACTTTCCCATATTGAGTAATACTTTTACACCCCGACAAGCAGACCAACCGAGGTGGTGCGTCTTCTGCACAGTTAAAGGGGAACTACGCCCATCTCCCAAATTAATGCATGATATTCATATTGTCTTAGGCAGTCCAAAAATGTGTTAGTAAACATGAGCAAAGCTCTCCCAAGTCCAAAATCTAGAGTGCTAAAACTCAAATTTGTGATGTCACAGGGGACAAACTCTGGGATTGCTCATTAGGGAGTCAACTGTGGCAGATGTTCTAGATGACACTGAGAGCACCCAGGGGAATGTTCTGAGTAGGCTTATATGGGTCAGTTTTCTGTTTCGCAAATGAGAACACTAGAATAAAGCTTATTTGAGTATAAAATAGAAAACATACATTCTGTGAGTCCAAAATAAGTCTCCCATTCATTGTCTTTATACTTTATAACATCACAAGTGATACACACTTTTGTTGGGGATAGACTCCATGATAGCAACCTGATTATGGCTTGACATGGCAAATGTACGTAAACGACAATGAGTGTTGTGCACGATAATCCATTGTTTTATCCCATGTAATGTGTCATAGTAGACCACAACAGACGCCAAGTCTGGGATGCCTCATGATCCTTGTTGTTCTTGGCCGGCATGTCAAAAGTTGAGAAGTTTGCTACGTCACAAAGATGGCAACTGTCGAGGATGAGAAGTGTCCTTCATTCTACACTCAAACACTCATCTTTTGGACTGTTTTGAGTGCACCAGTAGTCCACTGCATTTTCATACTTACATACACACTATGTACAGTATGAATATACTCAAAACATTGGGTGTTGAGTATAGAAGGATGCAAGTTGAGACACACTGAGGATAGGAGCCAAATATGTTATTGGGAGGTAGGGGTGGGAATCTTTGGGCACCTCACGATTCGATTACGATTACGATTCAGGGGCTACGATTCTATTATAAAACGATTATTGATGCATCTTTAATTTATGTATATTGATGCACTTTTTCACAACTCACATTTCTTTTTGTCTCACTGAATAAGCATTCAACACTTGCAATTTTTAAAAACAGTGCATTTGTAATAAGAAAGAGTTGAATTCATTTCCATTATATTTTATTAAACATATAAATGGAAATGCTTGCAAACTGTAAAGTTACAACTTCGTTGTACGGAAACAAAGGTAACAACAGGTATCTTAAATCACAAGATAAAATGCGTAGTTAGAGTAACAAATGATTCGGTGGCGACAGACGTCCACGCATCACATGTAACCGCGTTCCTACCTGCCTTCAACAGTGAGGCCATGACTTCTGTTTTGGTTTGATGGTAGAGTGTCGGTGAAATAGCGTCGGGATGGGATGGTGTATCTGGGCTCCAGTGTATGCAGCAGTGCTCGAAATCCCTGATTTTCCACGACAGAATAAGGACGCAAATCCTTGGCAATAAATGCCGCGATGGCCTTCGTAATTTGCTTCGCCTTTTCCGATGAGGGTGGCAACTTTCGAATTGCTTCCTCGATTGTTCTTTGGTCGGTAGCGCCACTAGTTGCCGCAGCAACAACAGCCTGCTGTCTCCCTGACTCCTCCGTCAGGTGGAATCGAGTTACATGGCTTTTCATGTTTGTTGTGTTGCCAAAGTATTTTATTTTAGCACGACACAGCTTACATATAATGTGGCTCTTGTCCAGTTCGCTTCCTCCATCAACGTTGTAGAAGCCGAAGTATTTCCACACATCTGCTTTTAAATTAGAAGAAGTTGTTCAGCTCTCACGGCAAGGTGGGTAGCGGTCAGCCATGTTTGTTTTCCTCTGTGTGCGTGTCGGCGTGTCTGCTCCAGGTGCGCATCCCAAAGTGTCCCGGAGATGACACGTACCGCGCTTCTTAGTTCCGCATTATTTAGAACCTTCTGTATTACTCTAATTAACAGATTTAAATAATCGAAATTTGGACGTTCGTGAATCGATTCAGATTTGTCCACGTCCGAATTGCGATGCATCTAAGAATCGGAAATTTCCCCCACCCCTATTGGGAGGTTTGCCTCTAACTGTGTAATTCACTGTGTGGGCATTGGGGGGCGCCGTATTATCACCTGGTGAGCTCAGGTATTTTAGGATGTGACCTCACTATGGTCATCAGGTGTTTGACCCGGAAGGGCAAAAGGTTTTTGACTGTTGTGGCGCTAACTGTCGACGTTTTCTTTGTTTGATCAGTTGTCAATAAATCGGAATAAATGTTCGTTATACTGCATCAGAAGACCAGCGTCCGGACTCCTTTACTGAGCATCAAGAATGGTAATGTTAGGGTGAGAAACCAGTAAGTTAGCAAAGCGCGTCAACCAGGTTACTCTGGGTCAAGCATCTCAGTAGCTTGAAGTATAAGACTTAGCTCCTACACTGAGAGACATCCACACTCATATGTTTTCATTTTAAAATGGTATTTTAAAACAAAAATAATCTCCATCCATACTAACACGCCTGGAAAGCATATCACTCACATGACCATTCATGTACACTGGGTATGGGCATACGGCTGTTAACAGCAAGCAGATTGTTTATTCTCCAATCGGATGCATAATTAAAGAAAATACTGCAGAGAAAGCGAAAACTTTTGCTTGGACCAATGATGAATTGCAACTAGACTTAAACCGATTTATCGGCAGTGCTTGGAATCGGGTCGGTTTTCACGTGATCGGCCATGACCTGCGACCGGCCGGTCAGTCTAAAATATGTTGATTTAAAACGCCAGTCAAATTCCCGGTGCTGCATGATTGACATCGTGTAACATCAGCAGCGCACACACGCACATGTGCAACTCACAGCTTGGGCAATGTGAGGAAGTGAAACATGGGCGGCGTCTCACCTTAATCATTCACGCACACACATCAAAAGAGAGAGGAAGAAAGTTGTTAATTGTCTGTGTTAAACTGAACTGCGGAGCTCTCACTGCTGCACTGTGCCGCTTGAAACTGGCGAGGCGCGGGTCTGTGTGCCGAAGATGCGCTTACTGCCGCGTCCTGAAGACCTGTGTGAATATTCCACAAGAAATATTTTTACTTTTTTGTCTATTCAAGAAATTACCCACAAATGCTATACACCAAGAATTATTGTTTTATTTATCCATGTTTTTATTTATGTATGCCTTTTTTACTTATTTATTTTAATACTGTACCTGAAGTTATATTTGAGCAAAAAGGAAAATGTTTCTTAACAGGTTAAGAAACATGTCACTGTTTTTGTTCGTTTGTTTGAGATGATTATTGAAAAGCTGGTTGTATCTTGGTTAAAATGTTCTAATAAAGCAAAGATAGAAAATATTGCAATATCTTGTGTGCTGTAAAGTGGTTTGAAAAAAATGAAATCAGAATCGGTCAAAATTGGAATCGACCATCCAAACACTGTGCAAATCGGAAATCAGTATCGGCCCTAAAAATTGTAATCGGTGCAAGTCTAATTGCAACTGTTATGGAAAGACGTAACAGAAGCTGCTCAAGTCAGCGGAAAACAGATTGGGGTCTGTAGCGTTTTCGAAGGTCTTTGTGTTTGGGGTTCTTAAACGCTGGGGTAGTGTGGATGCAAGGCGGAAATGTAGCAGTAGCTAAGAATTTTAAAACAACCATTCATGTGGATGACGTACCATTTTCTGGCCATATAAAGTCATTAAAGTAATGTAAATGTAGGTGGTGTTCCCTTTCAATTACTGTACTTGAGTTCATGGACAGATTACGTAAGTGTTAATATTTTCATGGAGAGTTAGGCTGACATGTCTGAACTTGGTTAAGTCTGTTTTTGTTACTGTATCAGTGTGCCAAATGGAAGACAAGGTCTCTAACAATGAGCTGATCTGAGTTATAAGAAGTGCACACTATCTTTGCCATAATAATGCAGGTGCAGTTTTTGAAGCATTTTATCAGGTTGTTTGTATTTAGTCGTTGCACTTAATCTAAGGAGATTAATGGGAACACATCCCTTTGGTAACTGCTCACCACTTTGGCAGATAATGGTTTGTGTTATTTACTGAAAGCCTCATTGCTCTATATGGAAGACATTCCTTTAAAACATTGTGTTAACTCTTCCCTTCCATCTCCTTCCCCATTACATTTTCTTTATTCTGTGCCAAATGGTTAAAGACGACCTACTTTCATTTAAAATAAAATGATAAGAAAAAAACTTCTCAGAAAGTATTTGGCAATAAAAGGTTTCTTAATGTCTTCTGGTCATCTTCTCTATTACTACTTTTTCTTACTGTTCCATCCCCTCTCCCTCATCCTTTCCCTGGCTCCTTCTCCTGCATGCTCCTGCTTCTACAGGAGCACTATGGCAATGTGGATCCAGGCCCAGCAGCTGCAGGGTGAGGCACTGCACCAGATGCAGGCGCTGTACGGCCAGCACTTCCCCATCGAGGTTCGACACTACCTGGCCCAGTGGATTGAGAGCCAGCTCTGGTATGCAATAGACCTTGATTTGAATTTTTATTGCAGTATTTCAATGGCAGTATCAGGCACCTTGAATAGAGGCCACATTTGGCTGTTTTTTCGTAATACACATTTCCTTTATTATATACAATATATAGGGATACACCTATTCATCGGCCAAACATTGGTATCAGTCAATATTCGTCTTGTTGACGGCCACTGGCCTGTTAGCAAAGAAGATGATATTCACCAATGGCAGTGGCTGATGTTTTTCTATTGTGTCACATCAATTTTGCGCAGGCTAACAGGCATGGCTCGGATACACCTATTCATCGGCTAAACATTGGCATCAGTCAATATTCGTCTTGTTGACTGCCACTGGCCTATTAGCAAAGAAGAAGCTATTCGCCAATGGCAGTGGCCGATGTTTTTCTATTGTGTTACATCAATTTTGCGCAGGCTAACAGGCACGGCTCGATGACTAACAATGTCACGTCATCCCAGGGACAGTAGAAAACGTGTTTCAGACAACAAAGATCTTCCCCGGGGCACAGTAAACACACTATCATTGCATCAGGGGACGCACCCTATTGTTTTACTGCATAATGCTACACTGTGAACAACAAATCCTTGTTGAAATCAGCAGAAGGAGAGCTAGTTAACATCCGCAAACAGTTAATGGAGGTTGAATTCATGCTGCATTCAAATGGAACTCATTAGCTCATGTTTTAACACATGGGAGGTTGTAAACAGAAACTCCTGACCTTGGAGTTCTTCAAAAATATCTACTTATGAGGTTGTGAAAACCACAACAGGAGGGCATTCACAAGTACTCTTCTTGTGATCACAGTAAACACGACCCTGCTTGAATGCAGCATGAGTTACATTATGATGCATTCAAGCTCTATTCAGGAAAAATGAGGACTGGGTGAAGGTTAATTGAAACTTTATCATGAAATTTTAGGTTTGGGGAGAAATTTTAATTGATACAGCTGTTTGATGGACAAATATTTTGATGTTTCATAGCAGTAGAAATTTAGAATTTAAAGAGGGCATTATATATTGTATATAGTTTTTAAACAAGTTGTTTTGTAAGATGTTTTTCATGTGGAAGGTTATATTGAAGGTTGTTTCATAAATGTGAATGATTTAATGTGTGCAATGCATACAGGAAATTTGCATCTCCTAAATAAATATAAATATAATAAACTAGAATTACAGCCTCACGGTTGTGCATCTCCGCGAACCAGTGAAATTGCACTCACAGTTTACATCCATGTCTGTGAAAACATGGATGCTTCATACACATCTATACAGTCAGCACAGTTTCAAGGTGGACACCCAAGATTAGTGTCACCAATTCAGTATCTGACCAATGTCTCACCTGCTCCTGTGTTATGGAGTTATGATGTTGAATAATGGCAAGAAAAGTGTTTGTGTAGATTATGATGTCTCAGTGAAGTTGACCTTTGACCTTTTGGATATAAAATGTCATCACCTTATCATTTTATTCTATTAGAAATGTATGTGATATTTTGTCATAATTGGCATATGAATTATTGAGTTATGGCCAAAAACGTTTTTTGTTAGATAATAGTGACCCGTCATTCATCAAATTCTTATCAGTTAATCTTGAGTCAAAGTGAATGTTCGCGCCAAATTTAAAGAAATTCCCTTAAGGTGTCCTTTTATAATTGCGAAAAAGAAAAACTTGAATGATTGCCCCAGAATACTATTTCCCTCAGGGTCTAAAAACCTATACAATATTCAGTTTAACTGACAAGAAGTTTCAGCAGACTGACACTATTTGCATAACTTGCACTTTCAAGAGAAACTAATGCATTAACCAGAAAAAACAGAAGAAATTAATTAAATAATGATGTTCACTCAACCTCCCTGTTGTGTTCACTTACACTAGTGTGTATTATGGAGTGCTGCAATGTTTGGTGCGGGATCAAATATTCATTCTACTTACATGCTGCCATTGAGACATCTTATACACAGGCTAGTCATAATGTCAGCTTTAATTTATGGTTAATAGTGGGCGTGTAGTGCACACATATCGAAGTTGAAAGTTATGCATATTTACAGGAAATTTGCGTACAGGTGTGTAGTTATAAATAGTTATTTTATCTGACTACGTTACTTGTGCTTTTTTAAAACACTTAGTAACCTTGCTATGGAACATGCTATTTAAGTAAAGTTTATTATTCTAAGAACATCCATTCAGTTTGTTTGATTTCATATCTAAAAGTCAAAGTTGATGTGAGATTTATGTACATTTTGTAGTTCTAAGTGGCCATCAACAGGTAGTCCTAGTGAAGCAGTGCTGAGCTCGACACTGGCTTTTTATTGGTTACAAAATGTAATAAATGTAATTGTGCCTTTCACAGGGATTCAGTGGAGTTGGACAACCCAGCAGAGGAAGCCAAAGCCAAGCGTCTGCTGGAAAATCTAGTGGCTGAGCTGCAGAGGAAAGCTCAGCTCCAGGGAGGAGAGGATGGCTTTCTGCTTAAGATCAAGCTGGGCCACTACGCCAGTCAGCTCAAGGTACCAGTCAGTCACTGTAAGATGAGGGAAACAAGCCTTCCCTAAAACTTCGTTTTTCGTAGTGATACTCTGTAAGCTCAAACAAATCTTTCCTGTGGTTTTATCCTGTGAGATTCCTCTGTTACTTTCACTCATAGAGGGCATCATAAACATCCTGAAATTAGTCAGTGTTTTATTACACACTATTATGTTGTTGGCATATGCAACTGGTGAGCAGCTTTGATTGGAATGTACCGAGCGCCATCTTGGACCAAAGTATCTGTATCCTCAGTGTGATGTTTTGAGGTTGTTTGTAGAAGAATTAGGGTTGGATGCCGTTTACATTTGATACGCATAATGGTGCTGCTAAATCCAATTCGGTGCCTAGCTACAGTCAACAGTAATTCTGCTCCTGTGCCCTTTTTATAATCATACTTAGGCCCCAATCACACAGAAAGTGTTTCAGCAGCCAGAGGTGGCTTTTTGTAATTGTTTTCAATGAGAATGAAGCTTTTTGCTCGCTGTTTTGCGTTGCTACGTGCTTCGTGTTTCTGCACTCTAGACGCCTGGCATTTTTTCTGGAGCGCTCTGAATTCCTCCAGTCCAAAAAAACTTTGGAATACAGAGCGGAAAAGCACCCCACGTCATCTCTGCTTTTTTCCCCCATTGTCCCATAGGATGATTTGAAAGGCGGACCTTCTGTGGTGTTCACGACAACAAGTTAACAGTTGGTAAACATTGGAGGAGAAACTGGTGGTAGTGGTTGCTGAATACTCGGAGCTATAGGACTTTATAAACTACAGTTACAAACTGCCCCCGAGTCATCTCAAAATATGGCTAGAAACATCCGTCATGGAGGCAAAGTTCATGGACCAACTGGTGGTACTCCCCGTGACCCCCCCCCCCCCCCCCTCTTTGTTAGGGTCTCATGTACCCACACAGTGCCTAACAAACTGTTTGTGGACAGTTTCTCACCCTTAACCAGAGCTACAGCAAGTACCCTCTGCCTGTCCATTTTAGTCACTAGCCACTAATTATTGTGAAATTAAGTAGGTCGTTTTAGCTAGCCAAAATAAATGCTAGATTGATTACATGGAAAGGTTAGGGTAAGGAGGTGATGGGGTGGTTGTCTGGCAACAAAACTTTGGCATTGACATTTAATTTTATTTTTTAAATGGCAGTGCAGTGTGCCTCGCTTTTTGCAATCTGCAAAATGCTTTTTCTGTGATGGAGGCCTGACAGTGTTTTTTCAACTTCGTTGGTTGGTTCGGTTGAGTCAAACTCACATTCGTAGCAGACGGAGACCACGTCTTCAAGAAGGTCTTGGTGTAGGTCTTTAGGTCTGTAGTGCAGTTCATTTATGGCGTGAAAACAAACAAACCAGCCATATGATTTTATGATAGCAGATATGTGATTTTAGCAGGATTCCAAAAGCTAAACTGCTACAAAATCAATTAATCTTATAATTGATCTTTATAAGTCCTATAACCTATGTGTGCTAATGCATATGTGTAACCATGGTAACATGTATGAATGTTATGCGAGGGTATTTTCCCTGACTACAAAGCTGTTAAAACTGCCATCATTGTATCCGACTCCTTGTGCTTTGTCCATTTAAAAGCGTGTCAGTGATCCCACAGTATTTAGCCCCAAAATATTAAGACGCCTTCTTTTCGTCCTGTCTCTACCTATTTTTCACAACATGCAATCGATTTGCAGTCTAATAACAGCCTACTAGACACAACTGGCAAATATGTGGAATAAGTACGTAATTTAAAAAAAACTAATGACAAACAGCAGTGATACAAGGCTATTTCCAAAATAATACACAAGATAGACAGAAACTATTGACACTGCAGCTCCCAGCAGTTTGCGGCTTATGCCTCTTTTCTGAACCCATCAGCTCTGTGGAGATCTCGATGTGGTTGTAATTCGGTCGGTACCCTGAAAAGCACCAGATTTGGTATCCAAACCTAAGGAGAACAAAAAGCATTTTGTAGAATATTTGTAGCTTAATAATGCACTTGAAAGGAGAACAACTAATCACATCTACATAAATAAAAATGGGGCTTTTTTTCCTGTCTTTAGTCAAGAACATGGTTTTCATTTTGAGAGCATGACTCATTAATTTCATATTGAGATTTTGTAATGAACAGAAAATAAGAAAAAACATAATTTGTCCACTCATAATTAAGGATTAATAAAACTGTATTTGTCAAATATTAATTCTTCTATATTGGTCCAGAGCCTGGGGTTTGGGAACCTTTGCTTTAGGTAATATATCGGCACTAAGGAATTACCATGATGAAAGTTCTTCAAAAGCATCATCACATTGTCTGGCTTTGATTAGAGCAGAGCCATGGAAGAACTCTGGCTCTAACATTGGCCAAATTGTAAAATAATCTTATTAATTGTGTGTGTGTGTGTGCGCGCGTGCGTGTGTGTGTGTGCGCATGATATACCTGCAGAGCACTTATGACCGCTGTCCTTTGGAGCTGGTACGCTGCATTAAACACATCCTGCACTCAGAGCAGAGGCTGGTTCAAGAAGCTACAAATGTAAGTATTAAAGGGTTTGTTTATGTGTTGTCATCTGCAGGAATATTGAGAACCCAGTGTACATCCCACAGGGTGTGGCTAGGATGAGACATGTCTGGAAGAGGATGGAAAAATGCTGATCATTATCCATGAAAAATCAGTTTTACTTAGAGTCATAATGTTTGTAGAACTAAACTGAGGGAGAAAAACAAAAAAAGAAAGCAACATGTGGACCTTTTAAATGTTCTGTGTGTAGGCCAGCTGTGGGAGTGGGGGACAGGCCATGGACAGCCTGTCGCAGCGCCACCAGCAGATCAACCAGGCCTTTGAGGAACTCCGCCTGGCCACACAGGAGACCGAGAATGAACTGAGAAAGCTGCAGCACAGCCAGGAGTACTTCATTATCCAGTACCAGGAGAACCTGCGCATCCAGGGTGAGGATTAGAGATGCACTAACACACACACACACACACACACACACACACACACACACACACAAAATACTTAGAGCTAAGATGTAGGAAGTCACATACAGAGCTCAATGCTAGGGACAAATACACGTACCGTCATACTCCCAGTCTGTATGTTTTGGATTTTTTTCAGGTCAATTTTAATCAGCGATGTCAGTTCAAAAATGACTTTCTAATCAGCATAATACTAAAGATACACCTGTAATTTTAAACAACACAAAACCTACTGGGCATTTATTGGCTCATATGTATGCAAGGTAAGTTGAGCAAATACAAAATGCAACAAAATCAAATTTTCCACTCCTGTCTGAACTAAAGGAAGCCAACTGAAGACTAAGCTCCACTTCAGTGTTATGTGTCTCTGCCCTGCCAGGATCAGACCCCACCAGCCTGTTTACCCCCGTTTCCACCAAACACTTTCATTATATTACCTTTGGAACCAAAAGCAACCCTTCAGACATTGTACCTAGACCCTAGGTCCATTTAGCATTTCCACCTCAAACAGTACTCTTAAATGTGGGCGGGGTTGTTGTCACTTACTGCTCCGTCCAGCACTCACTGTATGTCCTCATCACTGGTGACACAGATGAAAGTCTGCACCACATTTATCGTCCACAGAACGAAGTTGCATGCCGACATTTTCAGCAAAATAAAACATGCAAGCGTGACAGTCTCTCTTGATAGGATATTTAAAAATAGCGGGTTTGTACATTTAGTCCAACTGAGGGGAGTGCAGGGGTTTCATGCTTTTTTTTTTTCTCCCAGTGAAGATTGAAACATAAACAGTTCACATAATCCGGTCAAAACTTATTCTAAACACTTGAAGATCCGCTCATCACTAAAAGTTTATGTCATCCAACAGAGACAATATGAATTAATGGAATGGTCAAAGTTGTCATAATGAAGTTTAAGGTGTGCTGATGTATTCATGTCATCAACTCATGCATTGAGAAACCTTACAAGTAAACCTTCCACCTTAAGAGTTGCCGGCCGTCAGCCCAGTGAAACAAGTTTTTTTTTTCCCTCAGGCTACACCTGCTGCAAGAGACAGCAAAACATCCTTTCATTTTAAAGTTATAGTTTACAAAAGCCCCGTTTCCACCCAGCAGTACGGTACGGTACGGTATAGCTCAGTTTGGTACACTATTTTTCTGTTTCCACTGCGAAAAGTTGTGGATGGTATCAATGGAACCATTCCGTACCGTTCCCATTTTTGGTACCCCTTCTGTTGGGGTACCTAGCACACAGATCTGGTACTAAAAGGTGGAGCTGTGAACACTGCAAACTGTTGATTGGTCAGTAGCCGACCATCACTCTTGCTCAGGGCTGAGTTGTGGCTGGTTTTGAGGCTTATGTAACCTCTATTCATACCATGGAGTTTTAGTAAACGGTAACTGAACTGAAGACGTGAATCAGTCAACACACCTTAAATATTCCATATGACAACTTTGACCATCACTTAAGTTTTTATATGACATACACTTTTAGTAGTGAGTGGATCGTCAAGCGTTTATAGCAGGGGCAGCTGGCCAATAGAGGGTGATAGGGTGCCTCCCCTCCTTGAGCCACAAAAGAAAAGAAAGATGATGATAATAAATGTATGATTATCATCATCATTATTGTCATATATACACACAATATATTAATTATTCTGATCATTTTCACTTGAAACAGCTCGTCTTGCCTCTGAATATCCAATCAGAGGCAGTGTGAAGTCACGTTCCGGCCCTTTGGGGCGATATCAGCCTGGCGGGAAATCGCCCCGACTCACTCTCACAGACCTCCATGTAAAATGCTTTTTTTTCTAAATGCAGGCACTCCAATGCAATCTCTATGGGTTCCGGGAGGGCTTGCCCCAACGTGTTTTCATCATACGTAAACCACCAAATATCATTCATGTGCTCCTCAGATGGTCCGATTTCCCAAGTTGGGAAGTCGTTCTTACTTCATTGTGTGTTCATGAGCGTTTAGGTGGTAATGTGGAGACAACATGGACATTACAAAGAAGATGTGTTGTATTTTATCACTCAAAATGTTTAAAAAACACATCAACCATTTCCACTGAAATATTGCTTTACGGTCGGAAACTCATTTTTCGGATTATTCCGACATCACATGAGACAGCGCCACTGCGCAGCGGTCACATCCAAGATCAACATGACTAACGTTTCCAGCTGATCCAAGAAGCTTTTTAACCATATAGGTTATAAAGTAACGACGCATAGTGTGTCCAAATTCACACCCGTTCTTCTCTATGGATATTCTCCGTGACCATTAGCGAGAAGCCACGCATATCACGTGAAACAGCGGAACTGGAGCGCAGGACCGGAGCTTTCCAGTGATCACACACATCATTGTGCTGTCATCCCATCACGCTATAAATACAGATTAATTGTCTACAAAATAAACACCTGACTAATTTCTTTACAATCCATTATACAGATCTTGAATATCGTATCTTACCACGTCTTTGGCTTGTGTGTGTTTCTCCCTGTCTATCCACATTTGTAGTCCAGCTTTCAAGATGCAAATATCTCCATATTGTCCAGTTGACACTCCATCAAACTTTGTATGACAAGACTAGCACACTTCACCTTTGCGCACCCAGACAACTGCAGCCTAATTATGCATGCTGACAGGGCCGTAGTCACCATATACATTGAGGGGGACATGTTCCCCAATGCCCAACATGTCCCCCCCACATATAACTGAAAAACAATAACAAAAAACATTCAGGTCAGGTCAAAGAGCAGTGATACTATGTGATGTGCATTGTATTAAGTTGTAGGGTAGTAGGGTATTCCTGCATTTAATCAGAACACAAAATGAATTTCCACTTAGCTATAATAAAATGTTTTCTGATTAAGACTGACAGTGACTCAGTGAATACCTCACTCAGTTTTATTTGATTAATGGTAAAACAGGTCTCTGTTTACATTCAAAGGTATTTATGTGGGCAAACTGATGAAAAGTAGTCTGTTGATGACCACAGTGGATTGTTCAGTCATTGTAGAGCCAAATTAATTCAAATTTACCCATTGAACGGGTCACCTCAGCAATCATCACAACAATTGCCCCCCCTGAGAAATTTGGCAGGAGCCGCCACTGGTTTATATATGTATTGCTTTCGGCCTGATTATGTGAACTGCATATATTCTGGTCCTCAATCTGCTATTATGTTACTATTATATTGTGTTACCTGCTGAAATATCAAATGGAGCAAGACTCTCTCTGCAGCCTGTTTTATTTTGTTCTGAAAATGTAACGGCGTGTTACTCTGTTCGTTCTGATAAACGAGGCACGAGCACTTTTTAAACAGGAATTGTGCAGAAAAGCCCAATCAGTCTTTGTTCAGCATTGGCAGTATAAAAACAAAATCAGGGAGTGCAGCAAAATGCCACCTACTTACTTTTGTTTATACAGAATGCGCCTCTTTCGGGGCAATGGGGGGCGTGAGCAAGTAACAGAACGTGTAGCTCAGCATGTGACGTAAACAGTGACGTGGGAGGGAAGCCACGGCTGGTCAGTCCTTCTACGATTCTCTCATCAGTCGGCCCGTTCTTCACTGTCCCTGTCATCTGACGGTTAATGGCCTCTTTGTTTGTGAGGGCAAGGAAGGCGCGCAATTCCTTGTCTCCCCAGTTGCTCATCTTTACAGTGTCTGTCATCTTTAAACTAAAAAGGTTCCCCCATTATGACTACCCTATGAAGCGGAAAATTGGGCATCTTGGATCAACTCGCCAATCCAGCTCTGTGTGTCTACATGCTCGCAGCTTGCTGGCAAAATGGCCCAACATTCGTGGAAAATCTGGCAGTGTAAAAGGGGCTATGGACTTCCCTCTGTGTCACTGGTAATGAGGAAATACAGTGAGTGTTGGACAGAGCAGTGAGTGACAACAGCCCTGCCCACATTTAAGAGTGATGTTTGCAGTGGAAACGCTAGGGTCTAGGTACCATGTCTGAAGGGTTACTTTTAGTTCCAAAGGTACCATACCGAAAGTGTTTGGTGGAAACGGGGTTTAATATACAGTACCAGTCAAAAGTTTGGACACACTTTCCCATTTACTGTACTTGAATGGAAAAGTGTGTCCAAACTTTTGACTGGTACTGTATTTAAAACTTGCCATGGTATGAACACTGGTTATATAAAACCAGCCACAACTCAGCCCTGAGCAACAGTGACTGTCTGCTATTGACCAATCAATGGACTGCAATGTTTCTAGCTCCACCTTTTAGTACCAGATCTGTGTGCTAGATACCCCAACAGAGAGATGCCCAAAAATGGGGACGTAAGGAATGGTTCCATTAGTACCTTCCATAACTTTTTACACTGGAAACGGAAAAAATGCGTACAGAACTGAACTGATTCGTACTGGTCTGCTTGGTGGGCTTTTGACTTGTATCTTTGTAGTAAAATGACCTGCAGTCACAAGCTGGTCAAAAGTTACCAAAATTACCTTCCTTGCCCAGAAGAGATCAATGGTTTTGTGTTAGCTGTTGGTGGTAATGCCCTGCCTGTCTCCTTCTTCCTGTTTTGTCAGCCCAGCTGAGCAGCCTGTCCTCACTGCCCCCAGCTGAGCGCACCCAGCGGGAGACCACCCTACAGAGCAAGAGGGCCACGGTGGAGGCCTGGCTCACCAGAGAAGCCAGCACACTACAGAAATACAGGCTTGTATGAGAACAAGACACACATGACACACACACACACACACACACACACACACACACACTGTGGCTCTGCAGTAGAAACATACTAACAACACAGAAATGATTCAGGAAAGGAAAGGTATTGACAAGGATCCTGGTCTTGCTCTTTTGCTTCTTTTGCACTTTCACCAGTCAGCCTGTTTTCAAGAAGCTACAGGGATTGATTGCATTCCAGCTGCATAAAAGATGTCAAGGTATTTAAGCAGGCCATAGTCTTTTCACTGCACAACAACAGAGGAAAGTAGAGTTCTTAGTTATATATGGCCAGATAAGTACCCAGTCAAGTATACACAACATTCCTTATGAGTGCCTGTCAGGGATCAGAGAATCATATTGCACATGCTTTTATTGACTTCACTGATTAGGTAGGTTCAGTATGCATGGTGGGCTATATACAGGCATACTAAAACACATCTTGTTGATGTTGTAATATGCTACTATATGATCACATAAATCTGACGCCATTTCAGTCATAGCTGTACAGTATCTCTTGTTGTAAATGTTAACATCATATCGTAACTGATGTTACACAGCAGTGTTTGTGTGTGTTTTATGCATTTCAAGAGTGAACATATAGGGCTCAAAAGGGTGACGTAGCGGAGGTGGCTTTGTGGGCAATTGGAAAGTTGTTTATGTTTCGCAACGCTCGGTACGCTTGTGTCTGTTGTTGTTGTTTTAGCATTTTAAAAGTAACTGTATCGTTTGAAAATGGACTTGCTGTGTCACTAACTGCTTGATAGCAAAAACTGAAATAGAACTAGGGACAAATCTAACACAGCTGTGCAGTCAGGACTAGGGTTGTCACGATACTAAAATTTCAAACTCGATATTGATACCCAGGAAAATATTCAATACTTGATACCATTTTCGATACAGCAGCAAAAAATTAAGAGGCATGTCATTTTTTAAATAAAGATCAGAACAGTAACATCAATGATAACAACAAAAAAATCCCCCCAAAATAAATTACAACCAGAAACAAGATCTGTCCATACAAATGTATTTATCTTCAGCCCTGTTTATTTTCTGTGCTTCTGGTGAATTGGCACCATATTTTCGTTGCTGATCAAATAGAGTTGGTAGTTTAGGCTCAGGATGCTCCTGTTTCTACCTCACTATGTGATCAGAGAACCAGGGG